AGAGTGCTTGAAATAATCGTACTCGTATTGCGTAACGAGACATGCAAAACATTCAGTGTCATTTGTTGCGTAAGCAACGCGGACACATCCTGGTTAAACGATTTTGTGCCAATTTAGTAATCTTAACCAGCTTCGCTCGAATTAGAATTGATTCGTATGATACAGCACACTTGATGAGTGCACGAGCTATCACGAATGTGTGCAGGAATGGCGGTTTTTTTTCTTCTTTTGCTATAAGACACGAATTGTTGAGTAAGTAGAGCCGAATGTACCGTTTAAGGATATGCTGGAAGAGGATAATTGTCATCCATTTTCATCCACCGCATAACCATGCGTTAACGAAGAAAAGGAAAAAAGGAAGTAAGTTTAGTTTCATTAGAAACTGGAAAGAAAGTAAGTTGGAAAAAAATCGCAAACTACATTGCTTGTGTTTCTTTAAGATTCTATTTATCAGTTTTTATTCATATTTTATTCATATTTTATTCATATTTTATTCATATTTTATTCATATTTTATTCATATTTTATTCATATTTTATTCATATTTTATTCGATTCAGTTAAGTTAGATGAGAGTAGTATATGGACAATTGATGAAAGAAACGGATAGAATATCAGTATTGCGAGTTAAATAAGTAGAATTATTATAACAGACATTCGCTGTCCCAGTTATCGGGAAGCACGTGTTCCCATAATTTGAATAAATTCTTTAGTAGACAAGGCGTACTACAATTTGGTATATTCATATAATACGGTGTCATTAGTTCTGTGTCATTCAGGTACATTAACTGTAAGGAAAAGAAAAGTAGAAAAGGAGAGAGGGAAGAAGTAGAAATTAGGAGAAAATAAATATCAGCTGAAGTAGAATCGATTTGTTTGGGTGGAAAAGAATACCTTTAATTCCACATCTTCTGGAAAATTGGATGAAACATGCATTTGGAAAATAAGCGTCGCACCATAGTCGGGTTTAAAGTACTCATTCCTGAATCCCATGGTTCGTAACAAGTTAACGATAGTCGTATCATGAACAGAATAAAGATACACTCGTCTAGTATCTTGACCATTGTTGAAAGCTTGCAAATGCTCCAAGATATGTTTAAGTAATGGTCCTAAAACGAAAATTAGCTAGGTAAATGTAATTACCTAGAAAAGAGAGAAATAGTTTCTTGATCGGAATTTATGAAAAGTATATCGATGTACCACCACGAAGTCGTTGTTGCAATGTATTGCTAGTAAATAAGGCTAAACTACGGGCTGCGATTTTACGCATGTGTTGATTATAATACTTGTTTGTCCATTCGGGTAACTTGAAATTATTACGTTTCTCGATTTCCAAGGTATTGTACAAAAATTCAACGTCGGTGATGGTTGCGATATTTTTCCCGGTATAACTGGAAAGTTCTTGATAATATTCGGCCGATGGAGTATTTGGATGCAGGGATTCGTTTGCATATGCTTCTTCCAGAGCTTTCTCTAACCGTGGGCAAGGAGCCTTAACTACGATCATCTGAAACTTACAATCGCTTGTCTCTTACTTCCCTTCCTCCCCTCGTCTCACTCTATGCCAATTCGCATACATCGGATACGCGATTTCCTTGAGTTTTAATATATAAAGTAATTCGTTATGGCTAACGTGTACCTTGTCGAAATGTCTAGGGGTAGAATGAACAGGAACGGGTCGCCAAGCCAAATTAGGCACAAACATTTCTTCTTTGGTTGGTGGATATAAAGCAGCTAGTAAAGTTTGTGCAGACATTATACATCGATCTGCATAACTACTCTGCGTTAAAGACACATCACTTTTGTACTTGTTGCCAACTATTGAGCCATATTCGTTGCGAATCCACTGGCCAATGTTGTACATTCGTAACATGCCATCCTGTATATGACGTGAAACAATTGTACTACTACACGTTCTTACAAAGAGAACACATCATCGATCGGCAGCAAAATTTTAGGAGAAGAGATGGCGAGAAGAGGAGGATGGATACATGCTAATGTAAAATATTAATTTCGGGAAATAAATAATTCCCTGCCGAGATATTAATGAGAACGTTTTGGCATTGCACGCGGAAACCTGGTGTAAAATGGCTGGTTGTGAAATGTTGAATAGTCGATAAAACAGAGGAAACGCCTGTTTGAATCAGGTCTACGTAAACAGATTTCTAGATATAACACGAAAAGTTTCTCATTGACATCTCAGAAGCCACTCATTTGCCGGAAATAATATTTCACATTTAATATATGCTTACCCTCCTCTCATGGTTTGAAAAATTTGTTGCCGATCGAACGAAGATGCGTGCACTTTGAGAAAACAGACGGATTCTATAACCTTGGTTAAAGCTCCCCAGCCTTCTTGCCATTTGTAATCTCGATACGGGTCGTTTGGGTATGTTTCCGTAGGGTTACGATCTCCATGCCGAAAAACCTGTCGAGTCGTAATTGAAATTATTATGAATAAGAAATATACGTGTAACGATCGTGTCTCGTATGTGTATGAAAAGAACGCTACATGTACTTACAAATATTACAAGTTGCATAGAAGTTTGATCGATCCTGGCACCGATCGCGAATGCATATGTCATGCTATAGACAAACAATATAACACCAGTAACGATAAGGAGCAAGACCATAACCTCAGTAATGAGTAGTCGAGAATTGTAGTTCGATTTCCGACCATGTTCCCCGCTCATAATATATATTTGAACGTTTATCACTAACTACGTCAAAGCATTCCTTATGAAGATTATATCCATGTAGTTACGAAGATTAAACGATTAGATTGAACCTTACTTCAATTATATTCGTGGATAATGTTACGTAGCGAGTGTTTCCCTTATTATGTTTCGTTGTTTTCCTTCACTATTCGTTCATCACTATCGTCCGATCGATCGACAAATATGAAAGAACGGTACCATATAACGTGACGTTGTAGAACAATATGTACGTTTTGTGAAACGTGGCAAAGGTAGAAAAATAGGAAGAAAAATAGGAAGAAAAATAGGAAGAAAAATAGGAAGAAAAATAGGAAGAAGCAACGTTATCGAGAAAGGAACGTGCGAGATTGTAAGAAGGAAATCGATCAACGATCAACTCTGCTCGATGAAAGTAACACACGCGATGCCTCTCGATTACGTAGAAAGTCAATGCCTACGTTTCTTACGATACGCATCTGACATGCGTATGTCGGTAGAAAGTACGCGCAATGTATTGGCGTGTTTCGTCATAGTTATCATATTGGACGCTAGAGTACGCTCGCATCGTTAACATGTCATATCTCGCGCGTGAATCAAAAGTGGGGGTCGATGGTAGGGCGAGTGGGGTGGGGTGGATAAAATGCTCAGTACGGCGAAAGCAAAGCGGTAAACACGCGAGAGTAAGAGTTACGAATTCGGAACTTTGCTGAGTCTCATTGTCAGTGGTATTTCGAGGATTTACTTTCTAACGTCTCTAACAAACGTTACTTATCTGAATATTGCGCAATACCACGTGTGTACGCTGAAACGGAAATAGCAATATACAAGGATAACAGGAAAAGTAAAAAGAGTAGTGATAAACGGCGATCGTATGAGTATACGAATGAAAATATCGGTGGAATGTGTTTATTCTCATCTTTTGAAGTCGTGTTTTTCGGTCAAATTCGATTGTTCGTGTTGCAATTGTGCATTTACTTGGAAAGAAGCAAAGAAGGAAGGAAGAAAGAAAGAAAAAGAAGGAAAGAAAGGGAAAGGAAGGCAATGAAAGGGTGGTAATAGTAAATATAACGCAAAAAGGAAAGGTATATTCTATTTATTTTCGTTAACTTTGCAGAATTGACATCTGCCGATAGCCGAATTCGATATCACGCGATATCGATGATTTGAAAACATAATGGATGCAAGGAACTGATTATGAAAAAACTAATAATCACGTGTTACACGATATTTCTTATGCAGCTATAATAGAACATTTGAGCTACGTAATAAACATGGATATTTGAATGTTAATGCAAAAGGATTGCTATAATTTCATTCGCTTACAGGATTGATTGGTTTACAGGGGTCGTTTAAAATTCAGCATTATCATGTGTGTATGCGCACGCGTGTAAGAGGGCGAGACTGTTGTTTGGTAAAAGCGTAGAGAAAAGTAGGCTGTTTTCTCGTAATAAAGTCCTATCGATAGCATCTATACGATTTATGATGAAATTTGAAACATTGAAATTATCACTGGGCTTTTTCTGTCGGTACATAGAATCGGTATTGTCGATCGTACGTTCGCCGTCGTATACACGTATCGTTATATTACTCTTACCGGTTTTACATATGATCGAAAACGTATTATACATCATATATCATACGCATGGTATATGCATACGCAGACGCAAAATGACGACTAGGAGAATGACTAGAAAGTAGGTGACTACGTTTTATCGTCTTAAAGTTTGAAAGAAATAAGAAATAAAGATGAAAAGGAGAAGAAGAAGATGGAGTTTAGGAATGAAAATTGATTACTAGTTATGTTAGAGAAATATGTAAATTAGAAAGGACTAAAATGAAAACTGATTTGATCTAAGACGATTTGATGTTTGATCTAAAAGATGGATAGAGATGGAAGAATGGAAATTGTTCAAGTTGCAAGCTTGTTTCGTATGGGGCAGGGACACGGAGGGCGCGAAACATAGTTTTACGAACGATGAAAGGAAGAAAGGAAGAAAGGAAGGAAAGAAGAAAGGCGTGTAAGTAAACATTTAGGATGGTAAAGCCTGAGATCGAAATACGATCGATGAAGGAAATCGTTTTGTTTTCTTATCTAGGGTTGCTCGGAACGACGTCGACGTCCTGGACCTCCGGCATAATTCGCTGCAGCTAATCCCATTAAATGTTTCGCAGCCTGTGAACCGCTAAATCCACGACTCAAACCTAGATCCAATCCTCGTTTGTTACTGGAAAAAAGAAAAAGAAAAAGAAAAAGGAAAAGAAAAGAGGTAGGAATAGATTGATGGTAAAATGTGAAGGTATTTAACGACGTATGTGTATTCGTTGGATGAAATTATTACTTACTTTTCAAGTTCGGAATTACGTATTATGGTATGACCAAGCCGAGTAATTATTTCCATCAGTGCTTCAGGATTTTCTTCAACGAACTGGCTCCAATAACCTTGTTGTCTATAATAAAGTAAGAACGTGTGGATAGTTGGTAACGAAGCGTTCGCGGCGAGTCGAGATACGCGTTGATTCGCTGCGAGTAACGTATAGGAGGAAATAAGAAGAACGTTTTCTTCGAGTATACACGATCGGGTGTTTTTCATTGGCAATTGTTGGTATGCGCGACAATTCTCTCGGTGAACATTTCTCCTCGTTTATACGAGGATCTCGCTATCGAATTTATAACTTGTCCATTCTAGACTATACACGTATACGGGATAGCGCGAGTAGTACCGAGAGGCGTAACAACAATGCCAGTGTCCCCTTACTTTTAGATGGACGGCTGAAGAATCGTTTCCTCTTATTAAACCGCGTCTCTCGTCATATGGAACTGGGTTAAACTATCTGACGTTGTTGAGATGTGTCTTTCGTTCACTTTTAGCATACGTATACCTTTTTTTCTATTTCTTGAACACGCGATTCACAACAGCACCGATTCGCGTTTCTATCCGCTACTACTGCGTCGCACGTTTTGCCTCATTTTGCACTTGGTTGGAGATATCATGATTGACGCCTCGTCTTTTTCCGTCTTACAATTAGCACACTCATATCACCCCTTGACTTGCTATATAGTGCGTAGTATCAATGAGCCACATAGGCGGGTAAAAAATGTACTTGAAACGAATAAAAGGTCTGTCATGTGTCACGAGGTAAGGGTATAGTACGATCGATCATGGGTAACGGTTTGTCGAAAAAATGAACGAATTGGTGGCAAACGATGAAAGACTTACGGTGCGGCATTCGTCGAAAGGTTCGACGACACGAAAAAACCGGCAGCCATCAGCAGTATGTAGAACGGTAAGATCCCTTGCATCTTTAACGACTATCCTTTCCCTAATCTGTAATCAAACGTGATAGAATTTTTCATTTTTACATCTATCAAAGTTGATCGTATGTATATGTATTTCTTTCTTTTTATTAGAAATTCAATTGGTTGAAACGGTTAAAGAGAAGAATGAGAAGAAGAGGTAGAGGAAGGGGAAGAGGGAGGGGAAGAGGAAGAGGAGGAGGAGGAGGAGGAGGAGGAGGAGGAGGAAGAGGAAGAAGAAGAAGAAGAAGAAGAAGAAGAAGACAAAAGAGGGAAGTGGATAAAGGAGAGAAAAGAGAATAGCAAAGATTCCGTGACTTGTTCTTTTTTAGGCTATCGCGGAAAAGAGAAGATGGGAGCATTCAGTAAGCTAAAGAGACTAACAAACTATTCAAGGCACAGTCTAGGAAGGAAAGGCCGATGGTGGCCAACTTTTCGAGCAGATCTCTGCATGGAATTTTTACCCGGTTCGGGCAACGAATAGTCGTATAAATGGTTATAGCAGCGAAGCGTTCATTTACGAAATATACATGTACATAAGCGTGTTCCCCTTATTTTTCCGTACTTGAAACAAGGTTATAGAGCATAGTGGAAGGATATAAAGGTTTCGGGAAAATTTCATCTTGGCAGAGATACGAACATCTCCAAGTTTATGGCACGCCTGAGATTATAGCGACGCTTTCCAATACCTCTATTCGTATCGATGTTCGTTCAATTAGTATTTTATTGGAAGGCAATCACGAGTTGCTTTGAGCGTGCCGAATGGCCGTAACATGGGATAATTGGATTCAGCGCTTCCGATAATTGATGTTGACGATACACGTTTTCACGCGTGTACTTACATTCGTTAAAAACAATTTGATACTCGGAGACACGGATGTAGCTAGAAACTTTGAAACGCGTAAATTTGTCGGCGCATTTGCGGAAGATCTCTACTATAAAGTAAATACTCCACTGTACTAGTTTTTCGAAAGGCTTGAAAAGAAGAGGAGAAAAGGAAAAAAGGGAACGAGTATGTATAGCGTTGTTAAATATTTTCAGAGCGACGTGCCAGTAGAAAATACGAGATAAAAGCTGATGAAGAAATTATCGTTAAAAAGATTAATCCTATAACAATTAACGTTTGATTATCTCTCTTTCTCCTTTTTTGTTTTCTATTCTCCACCACCTTTGCACATTTCGTAGTTCTATTTTACATCCTCCCTTTCCCGTTTCCCGTTCTCCGTTCCCCGTTCCCCGCTTTCGGCGTTCCGCTTTCCACTATTCGCTTTTCGCTTTCCGCTTTCCGCTTTCCGCTTTCCGCTTTCCGCTTTCCGTTTTCCGTTTCCACCTTTCATTTTGCATTTGCCATTTCCCGTTTTCCGTCCGGCGACTAAGCTCTACGGTATACTCGAAACAAGGTGAACGGCGGTTCGATTCGATCGAGCATGAAAATTCAAACGCGAACACCAGCTGCGTTTTCTCTATTCGATTATGCGATTTCAAAAGTGGAAATATATACACGGAAACACAGGTGCGCGCACGCACGCTCTAACTATTAAAAAAAATTCAATTGTTTTGGCAATTAAAGAAAGAAATGGTGATAATCTAACATGCGTTTGGAATAAGAAGGGGTGCACAGGTGACAAGTATCATGACAAGTATATTTGACAGTTTTTCATTTGATAATTCATTTTTCCTTTCTCTAGTAAAAAAAAGAAAAAAGAGAAAAGAAAGTATGTATCGCTACTGATTCGATACACTATCGATTCGATGCGCGGAAAGAAAAAGAAAAGAAAAAGAAAGGAAAAGAAAAGGAAAAGAAAAGGAAAAGAGAAAAACGGGAAGAAGCGAAATTATCTGTTGACGTAATGTGTAACTGTGTTACTGTGTCGGTAAAGAACGGTAGAAGAAGGGACGTGGCGCGAATTACTTTTATTCGAATATCGAGAAGATGGGTTATTACGAAATTCGATATTTCCTCGTGCTTAATTCGACTACCGTCTGCGCGTATTCCCCAGTATCATCGAACGGGGGACCGATTTTATACCGATTCCATTTATATGCATATAAAAAGGACGGAGGAGAAGAAGAAGAAGAAGAAGAAGAAGAGAAATGTAGAAATAGGATTTAGATTAGCTGAGATTCGTGGAGAGTAATTTTGCTGTGCAACGATTTAACAGTTAACAAAAGGAAAGGGAGAAAAGGAAGCGAAAGGAAAAGGAAAAGGAAAAGGAAAAGGAAAAGGAAAAGGAAAAAGAAGGGATAAAAAATGCGAAGGGAAAATAGGCGTAATTGGAAGAAAGTAAAGGAAGAGAGAAACTGATGATGGTTGGACTTACCTTGCGATTTAGCTTGCGGGGTACTACTCCGTTATCAGGGTAACGAGAACGAACGGGAAGAAACGGGAACGAACAGGAAGAAACGGGAATGCGGGTAAATGATTTTCGTATCGAGGAAAGTTCCGACGGTCTAAAGCGACGGGTTGTTTCTTCGACAACGGAGAGCCTTGCTCTGCGAATACGAATCTACCGTGGACGGTTTATATAAGCCCGCGGGTTTACGGCACTTGTTTCATCCCCATCGTCATCCCCTCCCCGTAATACTTGTAAAGATTCTCGACCAATCAAATGGATCCGTGTTCTACCCCATCCAAGCTTCCTACCCTCGATCCTCGTATATCGTTCCGGTAACCACCAACGAGCGTGACGCGAGCTCGACCGCGCGCACTATCGTCGATTCACCACGCGCTCTCCACCATTCTCCTCCTTCCTTTTCCACTCCCTTTCTTCCCTTCCTTTCTTCCCTTCCTTTCTTCCCTTTTCTCTTTTCGCCCCTTTTCGCCCCTTTTCACCCCTTTTCACCCCTTTTCACCCCTTTTCACCCCCTTTCTCCGTCTTCCTTCATTTTCTTTCCTCTATCCTTTTTGCTTTTTCGACCAGACCGTACGCAGAGTAAAAAGTAATTTAATTTAAGAGGCTTGCAAATAGACGCGAAAGGCAATCGTATGGAACGGAGAGTGTTTTGGAAAGAAAAGGAGAAAACGGGGAAAGAAAATACTAACTGGTTGGTCGTTAGTCACGTTTAATCCATCGATAACAACTTCTCGAACGTAGACAGATACAACTAGGGCGAGTTGCGTCCATTAAGCTTGCCATCTCATTGCTACCGTTGCTGTTTGCGTTTTCGCTACGATAACACCGATCGGTTCTTGGTTCTTGGTTTCTAGTCGAACCGAGAGAGTCGAATGACTCGAGAATACCAGTTGCTTCGCGAGAGCATGTCGTTTAGTGGGGAGAGAGAAAAAAGAAGAAGCGAATTTGAAAACGGAAAGATGATAAATGATGGTAAGACGTGTATAGGTGGATTATGCGATTTTGATGTTTCATCTAGACTTTGAAGACGATTGATCGGGAAGATTAAAAGAGGAAAAGAAAAGAAAAAGAATAAGAATAGTTAATTATTATAGGCGTGTATTATTTTTCCATTATTATTTTTCCATTATTATTTTTCCATTTCATTAAGCTACGAGCCTTTTCGTCTTGATCGGGATACGCGTAATAAGTATATCGTTAAGGTAAATATATATGGACCGGCGACCCTCGGTCCATCTCGGAATTCGGATGGGTATCAAAGGAAGTGTGTGTGTGTGATTTTGATGGGATCGACGAAGAAATATTGGTTATTCAAATTGCTTTCGCGTATCGCAATGAATTTTCCACGAGTCAAGATGTAAAGATAAAAAATTATTTCTTCTTCTTCTTCTTCTTCTTCTTTTTCGTCTTCTTTCTCGAGGTATTTACGAGAATTCGAGAATCGTCTTATTACCGTTTGTTGCGGCGCCTATAACTCGTCTGTTTCACAGGGGGGCGCCGTCTACCATTGTCGTCGGCATGCAAATCACCCAATAGTCCATTTTAATAATGTCTCTGAAACGGTGGTACTTACTCGAAACAAATGACCGTTGCGGACGTAACGCGTTATAAGAGGCTGAATAAACTAACGATATAGAAGAAACGAAGGCGCGTATACGTTTTACGTTCCGATCGAGACAACGCGATAGATTAATCGTTCGGGGCAGATTTTTTCCCTTCTTAGCCAAGCAGCGATACGGCAAAAGTGGATAAGTGGAAAAATGCAAAAAGGAGGAAAAGAGGAAAAGAGGAAAAGAGGAAAAGAGGAAAAGAGGAGGGACGTTTTTAATCGGTTCCGATGGTGTAAATCCATTTGAACGGGACCGAGCGCAACCGCGTTGATTTTCTATTAGAGAAATTGTTCGATTTACCTGTCGATTATCGATTGGTTAGTCGAGGGATATACAACGAATAGAATGAAGGGAAAAAAGAAGAAGGGATAGAAATAAAGTAGAAAGGAAAATGGAAATGTTTCTTCTTTTTACCGTTTGCTATTTTTCCAAGAGAGGAAGGGAAAGGAGAAGAAAGAAAAGAAGACCTTTTCCATCATCGAATACGTTTCATCGAAGAATTTGCCGACTTTCCGTAGGAATGCAAGTATCGATGAAAACGATATGGTTAGGCGTTAAAACGAAATAACTCTCTCGGTTTTACGGGGTATTTGTCGAGACATAAACTAGAAATGAATCCGATACGAGCAGTGTGCTCGCTGGCGATTCGTTTAAACGTTCGGAGGTGGGTGAAACATTTAGAAAGGGTAAAGCTAAACGGAAACGAACACGGATATATCGGGAGAATGATAAATTCGTAAAGCGAGGAGGGTATATCGCGTAAAGAAAGATTTATAGTGCGAAAGGTATATGCTGAAAAAGGTAGAGAAAGATAGAGTAGAAAGAAGGTAAAGAAACTATAGCGAACCGAAACTACTACATACACATGGTGGTAGTAGATTCGGATCGTGACTTTTCTCGATCGATCGTTTCTCGGTTAGCCAGTAACTCTGGACGACGAGGAACGACGATTGACGGAGCGAGGATGGAGCGAGGATGGAGCGAGGATGGAGCGAGGATGGAGCGAGGCGATTTAACGCCGACAGACGCGTACGCGCGTATGATATCGGAGACGACGATATCGGAGGGCTGGTAGGCCGAGTTGCCAGTACTGACGACTGTTTGCCGTGGATCTTTAATCAAACGACGATCTCGCGAGAATGTAGTATCGCGTGATGTAAAGCACATGGAGGATAGCTTTCCTCTGGGACGAAATGCTGGTGTCGCGAGACGGAAAGCAGTGGATGGGAAAGTTAGGAGAGTAACGGAAACGTTGGTCCATTAGCGATGCTCGGTTCTAAACTCGATATTCTCGATATTCCTCGCTATCCGCCTAGTATCCTAATACTGAACGCGTGTCACGAGTTGACGAGTCGGATTAGTTTCTTTCTCGAGAGACCCGCGAGCATTTCTCGCGTATTATCGCTAATGTTCCCGTCGGTATACCCGTATCACCGTGTACTCGAGTCGTATTCCCTGTCTCGTTGTAATTAGAATTTATGGTTTTTGTACTCGGCCGAGTGTACGCGATGGTGCGCGTTCGAAAGGAAAGGAAATGGAGTTAGACGCGCGTGTATGTCAGCAAGCGAAACGGCAGGGACGGTGATCGGGCACGACGCGCGTCCCGCGTATGCGCTTGGTTCGAGTGGAGGAATACGCGGCAAAAAAGTGAAACCCTCCTCTATTCGACAAGCCGAAGAAATGAACTCGGTGAACGAGACGAAAGATTTCTCTACCACGACCACGACCACGACCACGACCACGACCACGACCACGGCCACGACCACGACCGAAACACCTTTTAAAAATTACGATACTTTCGCTTCGAAGAGCGTTAACGTTCTAACAGAATTTCAACTCGGTCTATTCCGCTCCAAGGAAAATCGATTATACGTTATCCGTTATACGTTATCCGCGCTATCCGCTCCGAAGATGAGAATTAATGTTTGGTTAGAAAGAGACTATTCGCTGGACATATTCGCAGCTAAAATGGCTAAAACATTTTCCCCGCTTGATCGAATTTTACGCTCGCGTAGTAACAAAGTGGATATTATCGTTCCGCGTAAATCCACTTGTCCATCCTTTCCATCTATTTCCTATACCGGTCGTTATCTTTTACCACTGCACGCGCGCGGGTCGACAGAACCGTTTCGAACGAAAGGAAGGAAGAAAACGCGACGCGACGCGACGCGACGAAGAAACGAGAAGAGTGTTCGTGACGCGATCCATTTCGAAATGCGCGGCTTCGTCCGATTCACCGATCGAGTGGAGGTAACGTAGATACATACTGTACCGACTGCGTCTATCGACTCGATGTAATCCGCTTTATCGATCGTCGTAAAACAGCTTTGATCGTTGGGCGACATAAGCGAGAAAAATTACCGACCCGACCAACTCTGTCCGACTACTATTGCATTGCAGCTCCCTCCCTCTTTCCCACTTTCCGTCGTTTGCGTCAGGTATTTCGGCAAACTACTGCTTTCTTCGTTGGTTACCGGACGATCGGTGACCGAAGAAGCAAGTTAACCGAGAGCGTGTTCACGCGTGTATCGAATATATAGGTAGTTGAAAAGGTATACCACAGAGGCGTTATTGGAGAGAAAGGAGACGGGATTTTATCCATCAGGGTACCCGCAGCCACATCCGTCAGACCACTTTTACGTTTGCCAAGAGGAAACGCGCGCTCCTGTATCAGTGAACTGACGCGTCGTGTGATCTTGGATTTCGCGAACAGAAAGGGAGAGGGAGAAAGAGCGCGTAATTTTTCCTTCTCCCCTCGATCGTGACCCTCTCTTTCTCTCCTTCTCTCTCGGGTCGTCATTTGCGAAGACATGCGACAAAAGCGAAGATACGATTAAACGAAAAGTATGTCGAGAGCGTAAGTAAGGGAAACCGCGACGCGAGAGTAACAGTAGAACCGATGTACGGTTATTCGCGCAGGTGTGTAGCATCGTTCTTTCACACCTGTTCGATCTTCCGAATAAACCGATAAAACCAACTTTCCATCCGGTAAGGTACATCGCGTAATCGGTCGTCGCGGGGAAATTCGTTTCGTCTGGTCGCGAGTTGTTCGTATGTATCTTTATCCGTTGGACGATCGATTTCAGAGACGAGAGAACGAGATAGAACGAACGAGAGAGAGAGAGAGAGAGAGAGAGAGAGAGAGATAGGTGAAATAAAAAAAAAGATAATCGGCACGTGGTAACGCGAAGCAGGTGCACGCACGGACAGCGCGCGACTCTCTTACTCGTTTGGTCGGTCGGCGAGAGACGTTGCTTGGTCGTTGCGTTTTCGCTTTACCGCGCGCATCTATCTGCTCGTCTATTCGCGCAACTACCGGCGCAACTACTCCGCCTCGTATACGCGTAACTCGTCCACCGAGTTCCTACCTACGTAGCGAGACTATGCGACGACTCTGCGACGACTGGAGGAAAAGGACGCGGCGTTTCGTCGCTCCGAGAGAAACATGCACTATCTATCCTTAGAGAGTGGAGAAAACGCAAGACCAATCGGAGACTATCACGACAGGTGAGATTTCCGATGTTGGCCTGGCGCGTTGGAAAAATTTGACAATTCGGTTTCCGATGGAACCGGAAGGATGGAGGAAAGAAAAGATTAGGCCAAGATCTCGACGTCTGGCGAACGCTTTAACGAGGAACGCATCGAGGTGACGGAAATGACGAGCGCGAGTAGTACAGGCGTACGTAGGAACGATACGCGGGAGCGATAGAAACGGGGCAGGTGAAGCGTACACGAGCAGCTGCTGGACAGCTGGACAGCTGGACCGATATTCGTTTCCAGGTACATATACAGGGTCACGTGGAATCGCGTAGTAGGCGAACGATAACCGTGGCGATGTTGGCATTATCGGGACGACGAGCTTCTCGTTATCGAGAGTATATCGGTTCTCCGGCTTCTCCGGAACGGGTGGCGATCGACAGAGTCTTTTGGCTGGAAATAGGGGAAAGATTGGAAGAAAAATGGTTTCCCGTTTCTGCGTTCTCGCGTGCTCGAAACGCTTGGAAGCGGACACGGTTGAAACAGGAACGCGGATTCGGAACAGGCTAATATACCCTTCGGTATTTCGAAACCATTCCGGACGAGCAGCATGGTGCACGCGTATACGTATGCACGCACACGGACGCGGGCGCGCTCTCGGAAACCTTCGAGGACCGGATCATTTTCCCCAAGGTTCTCACGAAACGTCGCGTATACTCGTTGCAAGCAAAGTGGAAGAAACGTTGCCACGATTTTATTACTCTTCGGAGTAACCTCTGTATCGTACAGCGTGGTAACTCGCAGGCAGTTCCAAGAGGATCGGGAAGGCGAGAATTGCGCAACGATTCGCGCGGCAAATCGCGAGGCGAATCGCGCGGCGAATCGCTGACTCAGACGGGTGAAATGCAGCGCGGGTGTCGTAGCGCGCGAGATAGTCGTGTGTTTCGCAAGGCATAGGCTCGCGGTCGAGTAGGCGGATACTCGCTACTACGCGTACTTTTCTCTCTCTCTCCCCCCCTCTCCTTGGAGATCTCCGTTTGTAAGCGATCGATGGATCGCGGTTCGTTTGGCAAGGGATTTCGGAAGAGATTTTACGAAAGCAGGTGGAGAGGAATAGCGATTTCGGCGAATAGTCCGACTTTTCTATCAGTACCGTGTGACAACGGCCAGCGATCGAATCGCGTACTCATTGTCTTTTTTTAAAAACGTTATACGCATCCGCGGAGAAACGTTTAGTATTCTCGAGCTGCGACTAGCATCCGGTTAAGTGGCGACAGCCGCTCCCACCGATCGCGTGCGAGCACGACCACGACACACCGCGCGCGTTTGTACTCGTTCCATCCACCACTCTCTAGCTCCATTCCATTTCGTTTCCTCCGATCCTCCACGGTCGAGGAAGAGAACGACGGCGAATCTCTTCGATTCGGCTGTCCGATTGATCGATGAAACTTTATCGATGGCCACGCGTGCACCATTTCGAACGCGATAAACGAGGGATATATCGTCGTTCTGTATGCTATGCCAGACGGCAGAAAGGGCAGGGAGAACCGAATCGAAGAGGAGAAGGGGCAAGGAGGAGGCGGTTGGGAAAGACGGAAGGACGAGTAAAGGTGCATAGGAAGGGAAGGGACGCGTAGTTGGAAAGATAATAACCGCGAAATAGAAATAACGTTGATAAACATGCGTAGACGGATAGCGTGGAGTAGGAGAGAAGAGGGGATAATCTGGCCGAAGCTACGTCGTACGAGTACGTAAACACAGGCTGGCGCGCGCGGGCGCAGGCTCGGTCGCGCGTGTACGCGTCGATATAGTACGTACCAGTTGTGTATACGCGAGCAGGTATAAAAGCTTGAGAGCGCGCGCGCGCGCGCGCTTGTGTGTGTGTGTGTGTGTGTGTGTGTATGCGCGTGTGCATGTGTGTATATATGTACGCGTATTATTTATATATACATATATACAAAAATATACACATGTACGTCCATTTGCGCGTGTGCGTATGTACGTACGTACATGATATATATATAAATATATATATATATATATATTGGGCTGAGGAGAGATAGAGAGGGAGAAGGAAGAAAGAAGAAAGAGAAAAGGGAGCAACGTACAGGCTTTCAGGGTTAAAGAGGGACAAAAGAACGGCTGCATCGCGACTGGCTGGAAAGGCAGCGTGTTTACGCGAGTTAGTGGGGGTAGATGGTACGTCTCAGCTGAGCGTAGTATAGAGGTAGAAGGTTGTCGAGAGGGCGAGTTAGTTGCGAATGAGCGCTCGTCGGGCGAGCGTCGTTACGACGTCGGTCGATAATGTCATCTCGTGATCGACGAGCAGCAGCCTTATTTTTCTTCTTCCTGTTTTCGGCTCTTGAGAAAATCCGTATAGAACGCGGAACGTAATCGAGAGTAAAGAAAAGCAAAGAAGAGTAAAGGAAGGGTGCCGTTCGCTACGTGTTTCGCGCAGTGTTGTGCCAAGTGCGCCAAGTGCGCGTATATACACCCCGAGAATTGTAATCGCCGTCGATAGCCAGGATCACGCGAATCCGACGGAGAGCGAAGAAGAGAAAAGAAAGTAGGGAAACTCGTCGCGGGTCGCGGAAAATCGACAGTGTCGCGTAACGCTCGGCACCGAGTTTTTCCCTTTCGACGAGTATCTCGCGAATACGCGTCGTACTCTCGCTATCGTTGCGTGTTCTTTCGTCTACCACGATTACCGTCTATGCTCGACTTCTCACCGCGACCACCTACTATATACCGTCTTTCCGCGGTGTCGCGCGTCGCGTATCCGTCCAAAGGAGCGCACGGCGTGTTTCACGGTGGTGGTACTAGTAGTGAGCTGTGCTGGTGGTGTACGATCGTCGTAGTAACCTAGTAATAGCGGTAATAGTAGTATCAGATAGTATTTTATTAGTAGCGATAATAGTAATAGCAATAGCTGTAGAAGACGACGGAAGGGACACGAAGAGAAGAAGAGGGAGAAAGTTGCCATAACGAGAGGGTACGAAAGGGAATAGGCGAAAAGTAGAGAGAGCAAGATTCAAGGCCGAAGAAACGAGTGTAGTGTGTTTGTTCTCGCCGCGAAGAGATCAAAAGTGCGTATAAAGTGAGGAAAAGAAATTGTCGGAAAAACCTGGGGAAAAAATGGTGCCGCAACAACAAGATAGTCCCTCTAGTTCGGGAATTCCCATGTTCGGATCGTTGTTGGTGGATAAAAATTCGCCTACGCCGTATTCGGATGCCACCCAGGTACGTAAACGATTTCCTTTTCGGAATCTCGAGACGCGATGTCGAGAAAAGTATACGCGCGTTCTTACGTTTCGCGTTCTTACGAGCTATCACGAGCTATCTCGAATCTACGCGAAAAAACCGTTTTCCGGATTTCCTAGACGACGAAACGACATCTGCACTTTGTTATGATATGCGTATCGTCGCGTCGCGTCTCGCGTATGTCAGAGTCGATTTCGAGCTTGTAAACGTACACCGTGGAAACCTCGAACGAGAGAAAAACGAAGAGGGGGAAAGTAAAGGAAAACGGGGGGCGTATATCGTTCCGTTGGTTGCGCTTCTAATTTCCTCGTTCCTTTCCAATTTTATATTTCTCTCAACCAAATTTATATTTGCTTATCGCCATGTCCACGATCTAGTCGCGATTCGCCTCTCTTACGTCCAAATCAACCTATCTGTTTACTATCCTCGTTGCTCTTCTTACCGTTTATCCCGCTATACTTGTTAATATTTTTCCTTCTTATCCTTGTCATCGTTGCGATCTTTTTCTTTTCCTCTTCCTCTTCCTCTTCCTCTTCCTTTTCTTCTTCCTCTTCCTCTTTCTTTTCCTTCGTCTGTACCTCGAAACGATAGATGCGCGTGCATATATACGTTGCTCGGGTTGCACGGTTATTCTCGTTAAGCGGTTTTTACCACTTGTACACGTGAGTACGCATATACGAGTATACGCGTTTATTTTTTCCCAACGAAACGGAGTTGGACGGAACAACGTTATCCTTGGTTACTTCCAATTTTGTTTACGTTCTTTTCAACGGTTCTCTCCTCCGATTTATCGCATCCTCCCCTCCCCCCCCCTCCCATCTTCTGTTCACGAAATCCTTTCTCCTACGCGTCGATCCGTTAAAATCTGCTGCTTCATACGTCTACGCCTTTTTCCTCGCATCTTTTAGTTTTCCAATTCCGATCGAATTTTCTCAGCGTCTCTTCTACTTCCATCTCGAAAGAACGACAATTACCACGCGTGTTGTATCTCCCAGATATATATACACGCGTTGTAAAGACGTGCATCGCATACGCGAGTTATTTTCAAATAGGCTTTCGGGTTTATTGTTCGTCCGCGATAACGCGTTTCTGCTTATACCGATATACGTATGCACGATTGATAGATAGATTAGATAGACGGACAGACAGACAGATAGGAAGTCCGATTTGGTATGATCGTAAAAACGTCGAGCAACGCGATAATAGTATTCGGTTTGAAGCGATCGAATTTATATCTATTCGGAGATGGCAATCTTTTCGTTTCATCTTTTGTATATCGTTTGTTGCTTTGTCGTCATTGCGCCGTCGCGTTATCGTATTCTTCCTCCGGTTGCTCTCGAATGCACGTAAAGTAGGAGCCCGCGCGCGCCATATGACAGGAAGACAGGTTGCGTGAATGGATAATACGGTGCATCTCTCAACGACGGCGATTACGATGAACGGCAATTAGTAGTGTAGCTTTGGTAAAAAATATCGTTGCCAGTATCGTATACGTATTATATGTCGTTTCCGAAAGAGACAATGAAAGGCAGTGCGCATCGGTGAGCTCGCACGAGCGTTCAATCACGCGCGCGCGCACATTCATCGTTGCACCTTGAGACGCGCGCTGCTGCTACCGTGTTCTCTCGCTGCTTCGTAACCTACATTCTGGCCTTTCGATTTCCACTCTAGCGCATGCCGAGTATTCGTCGATATCTAAAAGTATAATGGGCAAAGAGAGAGAGCGAGAGAGAGAGAAAATGTTCGCGCGAGTTACGCGTTGTATCTTTCGCGACGACGACGACGTGGACGTGGACGTGGACGTGGACGTGGACGTGGACGTGTGGAGGTGGTCGTGATCGAAACGGGCGATATCGATTTATAGTAGCGTGGGAGACAACGTGTCAGGATTTTCTTCTCATCATCGTGTTTTCTCCATTTTGTGTTTCAGACGAAGAAGAACAACCCTAATCATATAAAGAGGCCGATGAACGCGTTCATGGTCTGGTCGCAGATCGAGCGGAGAAAAATCTGCGAGATTCAGCCCGATATGCACAATGCGGAGATCAGTAAGCGGCTTGGAAGACGCTGGAAAACGTTGGACGAGGCGGAAAGAAGACCGTTTATCGAGGAAGCGGAACGACTTCGGCAATTGCACATGATGGAGTATCCGGATTACAAGTACAGACCGAGGAAGAAAACGTCGAAACCGACTGCGTCGGCGGCGTCAGTAAGCCCAAAGACGAAGGAAGGGGGTAAGAAGCCGAGGAAATCGGTTTCCTCGTCCACAGGAGCAAGTCTCTCCGGCGCGATATCAGGCAAGAATCACGCGCGAAACGATAACAATAACAATATGCAGTCGAGCGGTAGCGCGAATGGCAGTGGTGGTGGTGGTAGTAGTGTGGTCGGTGGTGGTGCAGCCGTGAAGAGGTTGCAAGCTCATCATCACACCGGTGCTACCAAACCCGTGTCGCGTTTCAAAGTCAGGCTGGCATTGGACAAGAGACCACCTTCCGATTATACTCCGGCACCCCCTATCGCCAAGATACCGAGCAGTCCTTCGTGCGTTACGCCGGATTCTCCGGAATCCGCGAGCTTCTACGAGGATAATTTCCTCGAATGCGGCTCGGCTGCTGCCGCTGCCGCTGCTGCCGCTGCTAGGTTGGCTGCGATAGCCACCTCCGTTTCTGCTTCCGTGAACGCTGTCGGTAGTAACGCTGGTACCTCGATTAAAACGGTCGTCGGTGGTAGAAAAATCAAACGGGAAGCCAGTTTCGAAACGGATTACGAAACGACGTTCGAGCCGAAAGATCGGTTGCTATCCTCGATCGGATCCGTTGTTACCTCGAATCAAGCAGCAGCAGCAGCAGCAGCTGCTGCCACTTTTTCCTCCTCTATCGAAGAAATGGATCTACTATCGGAAAAGAGCTTTCGTGCTCGAACGCCTTGTCACGATCAACACCAGCAGCAACATCATCAGCATCATCATCATCATCATCGTCAGCAACAGCAACAACAGCAGCAGCAACAGCAGCATCAAAACCACAATGGTCACAGTCACGGACAACACGGCCACGATCACGGCAGTCGTAACAACCATCATCATCACCACCACCACCATCATCATCACCATCACAATAATCATCATCGTCATCACCTGGAACGTCGTTCGAGCTTTTTGACGAAAGAAAATTCGACGATTGCGGGGACAACTGGTTCGCCGACAGCCGCGACTACGATGGTGACCACGGAGACGGGAAGAACGACGATCCCCGTGAGCATCGAAGCGGTGAAAACGGAAACGAAAACGGAAACGGAAATGGAAATGGAGACGGAAATGGAAATGGAAACGGAAACCGATTCGACACCCGTTACCAGCAGTGGTTGTTGTCCCAGCACCATCGCGGGCATCAGGAGTAACGGAAACACGAATATTGCCACGACGACGACGACAACGACCACGACCACGGCGACGACCGCGTTGAACGAGTGCTGCACGGACCAGCGACGAATATCCTCGAAACGTTCCGCCGTATTAGTCACTGCCACCACCGGTACGATTCCTACCCTCGCTGCGCCACCGCCACCGCCACCGCCACCGCCACCGCCCACGAACGACGATTCGCTGGACGATAACATCGCTGTCGCTACCGCAACCACCACCGTTATTACCGATAATCGTAACGTTATCGGAGACGGAGCGACTATCGCCGCGACAGTCGTCAAACTCGAGGAACCTTCCAACAATCCGAGTTTGGCCGATCTTTACTCGTTGACGGATCTCTTGCAAATACAGCCGTCCGACTTTAAGATCGATCTCGACATGGAAACGATAACTACCGATCTAGACACCTTCGAAACCGCCAGTTCCAGCAGTGGGTCGCATTTCGAGTTTTCCTGTACACCGGACGTTACGGACATGCTGTCTACCATTGGCGTAGGCGATTGGGTTACCTTTTGAGGCACTCGAACAGAAGAAACTCTCGCTACTGGCGCGTGTTTTCCTTCGATACACGCCGCAGAGAAGAGAACCTTTCTCGTTACTCGCCAACTTTGCGCACGCCACCCTTCTTATCAACCACGCGCTGGCCGATCGATTCTCTTTGGATAACCACGCATTCTCCCCCCTCCCTGCTTCTTCTCCCAACCTACGATTTCCACGATTTCCACGATTTCCACGATTTCCACGATTTCGAAAATCCACCGCAACGCATGACGCAACGTCGCCGTTCTTCCTCGATACGCGCGTGTATCGCGTGTATCGCCATCTTTATGTACATCTCTCGTCTCTGTAGTATTAGATTTAAGACCTTTCTTTTCCCCTTCTTCCTCCTTCTTCCTCCTTCTTCCTCCTTCTTCCTCCTTCCTCCTCCTTCCTCCTTTTTCCTCCTTCCTCTTCCTCTTTCCTCCTTCCTCTTCCTCTTCCTTCTTCCTTTTTTTCTTTTCCTCGTCCGAGCGACGTTATAGATAAAACGGGCAGGTACGGAAGAAGATAGTCGAAAGCCACCGCCATCGAGATCCGCGTGCATACGCTTTTCCACGATTCGCATTTGCGCGTCGTTGGGAATTAGTAGCAGGCGAGTAAAATCTTTCCTCCATTTTTTTCGTGTTGGCGCTATATTCGTTTATTTACTTTCTATCTTCTCCTTCGCTTTCCCGTGTTCTATCGCTGATGCGACGTAAGCGTCGAACGTTTGATCTCATATTTTCTCCTTTACGTTTTGGCACCTACGCACCGGTTCGTATTTTCGTCTTTTTCGACGGAGCAATATCGCGATATCGTCGCAGTTATCGTACGACGTAGCGTAATGCTTGTTGGCACACGGTGCGACGTCGAATAAGACTCGAAAAACGGAGGGATGACAATATGCCGACTGCATTGCACTGCCGAATTCATTTTTTACAGCTACGGATCCTCTTCCTCCCCGATTTCTCCCGATTTCCCCCGATTTCCCCCGATTTACTCGGCAACTCGTATTCAATGACTGCCAAACGTGTATAGTTTCGTGCACCGCGATATATCGAATCGTTGTTTCTTCGATTTTTCGATCCCCTCGGATCGACGACTATACTATTACTGCCAATCGTGGTTAGGACAGAAAACGTCGAGGTTCGCGTGTATATCCTCAATGCGTTGCATCGAATACGCGAGAATTTTAATAGCGTTAAACGCATTTTCCACACCGAGAGAGAGAGAGAGAGAGAGAGAGAGAGAGAGAGAGAGAGAGAGAGAGAGAGAGAGGGGGGGGCATGGGCTATAAACGCGTTTGTATAACATATCGGGAACCAAAGTAATAACGTAACGCGGACGCTTGCTCGATTTCTATCTTACGCTGTTACGTTCTTCCTTTCCGTCGTGCCTTTTCTTCTTCGCGAATCAATAGGCTGTGAAAATATCGTTTGATCTACAGATATCCGATAATCGATCACTTTTCGAGACTAAAAGACTGATTTTGAAGAAAATCAGTTTGCGAAAGAAAAAGGAAAGAAGGGGAGAAAAATTGTAGTCTCTGTCTCTCGTGGAAAGGGAATGAGGTGGGTTCTCGGTTCGTGTATAATGTGTCGTTTTGTTTCGTTTTACGCGTTGTGCGGAATAAGATTTGTTTGCGGCGGCGAAGCGTGCGTGCAGTATAACGTGCGTATAGCGTGCGTATAGCGTGCGTATAGCGTGCGTATAGCGTGCGTGTATGTATAGTAGCATCTGAAAATGGTGTGGCGAATTTGACCGAATGGATAAAAAGCATCGTTGCCGATCTGTAAACACTGAGTTTTCGTCTCAACACCGAGCACATCTGGCTTTACGTGTTTCCAGTTCCGATCGAATCGGTGCCTTTTTTTCTTCTCCATCGAAGCCAAGTCGCAGACGCATCATCTACCAACGAATTTCCTCGAATATTCTCGAGCTATATACGCTGTGGAATAACGGTATGTCTCTACACGCGCAGCGATTTTGCGTCCCGTGACTTTTTTCTTTCGTTACCGAATAGATAATTCAGCTATTACTACAGAAGAGAGCACGTCGTATCGCCAACGATGGAACGAAGTCACGACGGTAAGAGTCGCGATACATACATAGGTCTTTCTTTGTAATTTAAACCCATAGGTATGTAGAAATAAACGAGAAAACACACCAAAGTGCAATATTACGTGTATGTCACTGTGTAAATGCGCGAATGATACGCGTGCAGCGAACAACGGCACAAACGACGCAAAGGAACAGATATGTACCCGTTCGTCTCGGTTAAATCTATTTTTTAACCGTAATCGTCGCCATCGTCGTCGCCATCGTCGTCGCCATCGTCGTCGTCGTGGTGTTGCGAAATTGCGTTGTATCGTCTTACGTATTACGCGTTATCAAAGTTCGTGTGGCTATCGCATCGAATGGTAAATTCGTTCGAAATCGATGGACAACGAGGAAAATAGCGATAGCTATGCCATTCGGAAGTAACGAACAAGGATGGACCACCTTGGAATATATTTTCCTTTTTTTTCTTCTTTTTTCTTTATAATTATTCGATGATTCGTTTTCTTGCTTTTTTGTATCATGTACGCCATTTCTTTTTTCTCTTTCGTTATGTCAAGGTTTTCGATCATCTTCGATGTAATCTTACCAGCGAAGAATCGTTATTTCGATTTCCGCGTCGAGCGAAAACTAATACAGCGATATCGCGGATGCGATTCGTGGAAGAAGAACGTAGAGAGGAATGCGTGAAACGATCGTCGATCGCTTGTACGTTTTCCTTTTTCTTTTTTCCTTTTTCCGTTTCTTCGCGTATTCGTTTTTTTCTTTTTTTTTTTTTTTTTTTTTTTTTTTTTTTTTTTTTTTTTTTTTTTTACTATTTGTCCGATGTCTTTCCTCTCCGCGCTCTTGCGCATTGTCGTCGATTTTTCGAAAGCGAGAAGAACAAGCGACGCGCGTGTTACGTTTTATATCGAAGAAATAAGGAGAAAGGAAACGCGCGCGGCGTTTATAACGCGTTTCGAAGCAAAAACGAATCAGCTGTTCAAGCTATATCTCGTTAGATATAAGTCTTTTTTATTATAAACGATAATGCAGTTAGATTATCGACTAACTTTATACATATAACTGTACATTTGTATTTAGCCCTCTGTTTATAATACTTATCAACTTGTTATTAAGTATCCAATTTATATAATTTTTTTATCGAACTTATTAAAAAAATATTTAAAAACAATGCAACGCGTGTGGTGTTTTCGATTTCATTTCGATTTCAGGCGAGCACGCCTGGATATTGGAGGCGCGCGCGCGCGCGGTATATGCAAAGGAAGAAAAGAAAGAGGTTTCTTTTTCACGGGCCGTTGCCCCCTGCCCCTCACCCCTCCTCCCAGCACCGACCCTCTTTCTTTTTCGGTGGATCACATCGTCGTCATCGCGGAATCGTCGTTCTCCTTTTTTCTCTCCCTGTTCTCTGTGCGCGCGCGCGCGCACGCGCGCACGCGTGCATGTCGCGCTTTCGTCTCTCTCCATCGTCCCAGCTTTGTTCGCACGACGCGCATCACACGGCTGCGAGAGCCCCGTGGAAGATGCTGCGCGTATGCGGCGAGCTCGATCGACACGCGTCCCGAGTCATATGTGGCTGGCCCCACGCTCTCTACCCTCGCGATAGCGTGTGCGGGTACACGCGTGTATCGCGTGCAGATTCCGATCGGTGAACGGAACGCGAGCTGCAGAGAAGAACGCTCTTAGTTTTCCTTTCGCCACGAATCGTGATAGACGAATTCGCGATAATAACGCGTACGCGTCATCGGACGTTAAGCGTTGTATCGATAAATCAGCACTCGGACAGGTTTGAATATCTTTTCGCTGTTTACTACGTATCGGATCGGATCCGATAACTCGCGCGATACGACTCTGTTGTCGCAATTTCGTTGGTGAAAATCGTGGAATACGACATGTGACGCGATAATAATATTCCTTCGTATCCGTGGATAGAGGAGACGGCGCGGAAAAGCGATCCGAAATGCAGCTTCGGGGGCTGTGCGCGGTGCGTGGACAGAGAAGGGAGAAAAGGAGAGGGAGAGTAGAAACGAAGAACGAATCGACCGGACCGAGTTCCGAGTGGTAAAATAATCGCTCAAGGTCTTTGGTGGCGTTGCACCCACTCGTGCGAACAGGCTTGCCAACAGCCGTCGTATTCCAGTGTTTACATCGCGCGAGAATCGATATCGAGAACCAGCGTCTTTCCTCTTATCGCGACTCGTTTGGTGGTCGCTGCTTCTTTTTCTTCTGCTTTTTCTTCTTCTTCTTCTTCTTCTTCTTCTTCTTCTTCTTCTTCTTCTTCTTCTTCTTCTTCTTCTTATTCTTCTTCTTCTTCTTCTTATTCTTCTTCTTCTTCTCCTTCTTCTTCTTCTTCTCCTTCTTCGAAAACGGAAGAGAAAAACACCGGCCACGGGTGCACTTTGGATAATCGCGAGACGGACCCCCCGGAATGGACGTTTTCCCCTTGGCCTTGAAAACGCGCGTGGCACTCGTAGGGTCGCGATAAAATATCGAATCGTGGGAAAAATGCGAGACGAGATTCTTTTTCCTCGGATTTTCCGTCGTCGGAGCTGACAAAACACGATATGGCAGGTGAGAAGATGGAGCGATACGTTGGCTCGTTTGTCGGATCGATCGATCTCGTCTCGCGAATAGAATCTCGATGAATCTCCCGACGGATGGAACGGGGAGAGGAAGAGGGACGGAGAAGGAGGGGGGAGAGAGAGAGAGGAGAGGGAGATAAAGATAGAGAGAAGAGTAGGAATAGGTGGAACGCGAACGCGAACGCGAAGGAGTCGCGGTGCGGGTAGTAGAGGATGTTGCTGGCCGCATACCGCGAGGTAGCGTATAGCTATCGAGGTCAATGGTTAGTCCAAGGTCCTGAGTTCGAATCTCGCGGTTGAGTTCAACGCGACTCGGCATTTCCTCTCGCGCGAACAACGATCCCCGTTCGTGGAACGCTCGAGGTCGTGATTCGCGTGCGCGACTCGCAGCAGAACGAGAGCCACGAGTTTTCGTTTTCTTTTTTTTTTTTTCCTAGCCAGTTTCGCCGACGCTTTGTTCCGAGAGAATCGAGACGCGACTCGTACAACGGCAAACACGCGGATCTAATACCGCGGAAAGAAAAGCTAACGGCGAGCATCGAGAGCGCCTTTTCGACGTGGACGTCGACGACGACGGCGGCGGCGGCGGGAGAAGTCGAATCGCGCGAGTGAACGCGTTCGAACATCGTAATCTCGCGATAAGGTCGCGTCTGATTTATTTGACGATAAAAGCTTATTGGAAACACGTGTATCCAGCGGGCTGCTGCCAAAACCGGTCGGCCAGGCGGAGAACGATCTCTCGCTGGAGCGACGACAGTACGCGGTGAACG